TCGAACACATCCCTGGAAGAGGCAAAGAGTGATGGGAATTGTAGTTTGGGTGGGAAGGAGCCTCCGAACTGCAATCAGAAGCACTTCTATTAAGCAATTCTGGTAATTGCCTAAAGAGAGCTTAGGAAGAAGGAATCTGCGGTTTCAAGGCTTCAGTAATTTGCTGTAATCTTAAGCATTTTAAATGTTCACTTTAGGATCTCATTTTGGATTTTATTTTATTTTATTTTTTTGTCTTTAAGAGAGTCCTTGAGTTCATAAGCTTTGGGTCCTTCAAACCTAGATCTGACCCCTATCAGAGGCTCATGCAGTTTGACTTTCAACCTCTGAACCACACATTGGAGGTTTGGCTTGGTTGATTTCACCCTTTGCGGGACTGGGGAGCATCCCTAAGCAGAAAGTATTGGCAGACAGTACTGTCTTGCTGGTTGCACTCAGGAGGACGTGGTGTAGTCTTAATGGTGTTTCATCAATACAGGCTTAAAGACCAACCAGTAGCTATCTTACAGTGAATCTCATGTCTCTTCTAATCTATGAACCTTCTGAAATAGGGTAAATTGAATAATAAATATATGTAGCAGGGACCAACCACAAGGACAAAAGCACATGCAAGGGAAGTGCCCTACAGCATAGTTCTACTGGCCTGGTCATCTATTTTTCTGTGGTCTGTTTTTATCAGATCCTGAGATTTGTAGGAATGATTTCAACACAATTTTTCTTGGGCAGAGGCTGTGAAATGAAATCCAGAGATGAACAGTCTTCATAAGGTTCTGCCATCATAGGTTTTTTCCAAAGCAGAGAATGAAACATCAAAATGTCTGCTCGATGGTTCCTTGTCCTTAAGAATCCTGGGGAGAGTCAGCTCATCGGAATAGACTCTGCTATTTTTATACCCAACTGCAAGCTGAGAAGAGGCCAGGTTTTCATCTGAGCAATGATCTTCCCAGGAACTTGATCTACTAGTTAAGATTTGATGCTCTGGGGAAAGGTGTGTTTTCTAGTGCATTCTCAGCTTTTAGTACTGCTCCTTTATCCCCCCACCCCCCAAAAACCCTTTGAAATTACCTCCAAGTATTTTGGGTCTCCTTTGAGACTCAGAAAGAGGAGATACAGACAGACAGACAATGTTGGCCGGGACCTCACTCCCTTGGGCACCACGAGGATACATCTGATGGGTCTGTGAAAAGCTTGCTAAGAGGGACTCTGGGAACATAGAACACACACAACACCCTCTCAGACAGAGGCCACTGATAGTCACAGAAGACTTACAGATCTTCTTGGACCACCAACTTCCCACTGATAGTCACAGAAGACTTACAGATCTTCTTGGACCACCAACTTCCCTTTATATGGCTGGTCCTTTTCATACAGATGACAAAGGAAAAGGCTTCAGGATTTTAGACTCACTGAAAATAAGACTCTCATTTCCAAACTCAAGGATATCCATGGATAGGTAGGTGTGAAGACACACACGTACAATCCACAATCTATTTATCTTCAAGATGTAGCAGAGGGTGCTAAAACCACCTGTGTGAGCAGTATTTATTTAAATGCATTCATCAGCCCCACTAAACCACTTTCACTCCTTCGGAGAATGACAAATGGCTCTGCAGAACAGGAGGTTCTGGAATTGCTGTGAGGGACAGCATGATGGAGTCTTCAACTGGCTGATGAATCAGATGGAAGAGACAGACCTGACTGATTTCTACCAGGGCAGGGTGACTGCGGGAGGAAATGAATGTGACCTGCCACACACAGGTTCACTTCTGATTTCGCTGGGGAATGGGGGTGGCATCGGACAAGACACAGTTGGGCAGGCTCCTTGGATTTCTTCTCTCCTGCCCTTCTGCCCCATTTCACAGTGCTGCGAGCACCTTGGGGAAAGGGATGCGCTGTACACACATCTGTACACACAGGCTGGGGGGTGTGGGTAGAGGCTTCCCTTGATTACTTCAGGGATATCTTTGTGGTTTGATTGCAGCCTCTAATCAACACAGATAGACTTCCTACCCAAATAGCTCAAAAGCTGGAGGCAAAAAAAGTGTAAAAACGGTAAATTCCAAAAACCAGATGTCTATTACAAAAAAAAAAAATTAAACGAAGAGGTGGGTTGGGAGCTGTTACTTAACCACTTGCTGTTGAAATTTAAGGACAAAGCTGTGGTTCTTCAATCTCAAGAAGGGCGTTTCAAAGTGGCGTCATTGCACAGTGCCAATATTTAAAAAACAAAACAAAAAACAACGGGACAGTTGGGTTCAACCAGTATTTACGGAGCATCTGGTAGGGGGTTTTATGGGTTATTTTTGGGTCTTTATTTGAATTTTAGTTTCAGGCAGTGTTTGCTCTCTGGAATTTACCACATCTAAATGAGGGGCCTGCCTGGAGCCTGGCTTGCAGATGTAAAATCTGACAGTTAAACAGGGTAAGTTTCTTCCTTAAGGGGGCTGTGGCGCAAGGTTCCCCCAGAGGATGGAATGACAATATTTTCATTCCTTTAGAGTGAGGTTAATGATTTCCTTTGCAGATTTGCTGGAAGAAAATTAATCATCTCATCGTAAATGAAGACTATTTCATAAACACTTCAGCTTTACTGAGTCACTCAGGCACTGAATACCTGTCTATCTCACGAAAGTTAAGACCCAAATGACAACTGACGTGACTCACTTCAAAAAGTGTAAACTGATCTATACAGATGTGTGTATGTATACAGACATACATCATCGCAATGCTATTTATATCGCATACCTGTGTCACACGTTCAATTGTTCCCAAGTATAGGAAGTTACAATGATCTGCCCCTTCCTTAGCTTTCGTAGTAGCTTCAATGTCATGAGCGCTCGGTGCTTTTCTTCAGCCTTTGGAGGAACACTTTCTCCAGACTGGGGAGGAGCAAACTTAGCTCTAGAAACGGGAGGAGGGCCTCATGACTAGACGGAATGACAAGTCTTCAAAGCCCAGGTGCCTTTTCCAATCCAGAGTGTGCACTGCTTATCAGAGAGGAGTCTCATGCCATTCCTTCAGCCTCACTGACACTGCAGTGTAGGAAAGGACGCGGCTGGGTGGGAAAGTTTGGAGCCTCATTCACCTTTCAGGCCCGCGTCACCAGGTAGCATTCCTCTCCTCCCCATCCCTTTTCCCGGATGTGCCCGGGCCTGTGCCAGGACCCACAGGTGCCACTGGGGAGCTCAAGCCCATGTCGGGACTTGCCGGGTGAGCGGGATGAAACACTGGGTGCCGGGAGGAGACAATCCACACTTGGCCACTGTGAGAAATGTCTTTCCTGTTAATCTTAGGTTTTCGGTGGCCGGGACATTTAAGGGGTTGAGTCCAAATTTATCTACAACAGGGGGAATCTTTCCTTTGTGAAGCGACACTTGGTTTATCGCTGTGAACAAGTCCAGGAGAGTGTCGTTTTGTGTGGCCACATGCCACAGGCCTCTCTCTGCCTGCCTTTGCCTTGGTCCCAGAATTCTGAGTTTCATGCTAACCCAGGTACATTTATGCAGGAGGGGAAGGAGTCAAGCACAGCCTTCAGAAGGCCATCAGGGAGTCCCCATGGAGCACCCATGAGGGGGACTGTGTTGAACCTCCTGGGAAGCGAACCAACTACTGCCAGTCTGAACTTTCTTCCCCGCTTACCCAGCCAGCCCCAGCCCAAGGAGAGGATGGTTTGTGGGTAAGTCCACAATCTTCATGTGCCTAGCAGCTGGATAAACCCTTCTGGTTTTTACACCAACCCTGGGCTGGGCAACACCTAAACGGGATTTTCCAATCTCATAAGATGTTGCGCTTACTGATGAAAACAGTGCTGGAATAAAAAGGCATAAAAGTGCCTCCACATTGGGTAGTAGTTTCGTCAGTCAGCTTGGAGGATGTCTTTCCTCTCAAGGGCATGGGGCATGAGACTGCAGCGTGTGGTCAGTTTTCTGACTCCAGATAAACAAACTACCCCACCATCAGCTGCACTTCTGCCCTCTTCAGAGGAGCTTCCAGCCTTTCTTCCGTGAGATGCAGGGGATGCCAGAGAAAATGCCTGGAAAATGCTGGATTTATACTCAAAATGTAGGCAGCTTTTACAAACAGTTCATCTAGGAATTTCAGTTGTAACTATCCCCAAAGTTTCTCTAATCCTGGAGGAGCCCCTACTTCTGATACGTGCACTTCAGTTTCATCCAGAAGCACCAGGAGGAATTTCTCCTCTCCAGATAAGGAGAATCTGCACTGGGGCACTGTCTTTTCATTGTGAGTTCTGTCAACAGGCCTACAAGTAACTGATTTCTACATCCCACAAAGGGATGTGGTGAACCAACACTTGGCTATTTTTTTTTCTATTTAGGACGCACCCAGTAATGCACAGGGGTTACTCCTGGCTCTTCACTCAGGAATTACTCCTGGCGGTGTTCAGGGGACCATATGTGATGCTGGGAATCGAACCCGGGTTGGCTGCGTGCAAGGCAAACACCCTACCTGCTGTGCTATCGCTCCAGCCCCAACACTTGGCTATTTTAAACATTAAACATTAGAGACAAGGCCCAGAGCTTGCACAGGAGCTTAGAGCACCAGCCTTGTTCGCGTAAGGTCATGATTTCAAATCCTCAACTTCCCATGTAGGCCAACCATGATCCTGGCAGCTATTGTGTGATCCCTGGCACACAGGTGAGCTTCAGCTGCACTACAGCCAGGCGTGTATGAGCACCATAAAAAGGAGTGTGACTCCAGGCAAGCACCATAGGTAAAGGAGAGCAAACCTCCACGAGGGCCCGCAGCCAAGTGGGCCAGCACGAGAAGCTGGCATGCCACCCCCGTCAAAGCATAGAGGCATCACGCGTGTGAACCCCAGCTGACACAGTGACACCAGTGCCAACAAAGGAAGGGCAAGAGGGCGAATGGAAGAGAAAAGGTGAAACACAAAGTCAAATACATGAATATTAGAGACAAATCCTGAAGAGTAACGTGCTAGAATGAATGTCCGAGTACCTCGGTGGAAGAAACAGGCATACTAACATGAAAAAACACATTTTATTGCACTTAAGTTATAAGAAAATAAAATTTCTAAGTGAATCAAACCATAGACACAATCCCTTTAAAGGTTGTTTTCCTCCATCATGTCAGGTTGTTACATAACTAAAATTAACCAACTTGAATCTGATTGTTTTAAATCAGACTATAAATAAAAACAAACAAAAAAATAAACAGGAGGAGGAAAAAAAGATCGCCTAGGATACAGTGTTAAACCACTTTCACAGTTCAGCTTGAGTTGTGGCTCTTGGAGAATGAGGCAAACCATCTGATTTTCATTCATTTGTTTGCTTGTGATGCCTTTACTACAAAAACTGAATCGTTTCTGCTTTGTCAGTTACTCAGAGCAATAAAACTGTAACAGTTGTTTCCCCAATACTGTAAAACACTAAGACTGACCAGCAACTTTATTTGAATTTTGTTTTATATATTTTTAAAATATTTTGTCAGTTTCTTCTGTACTTTCATCCATTCACCACAGCCCTCAAAAAGAAAAGTTTCTCCACAGAACAGGTGGTAAGAGCTCTGTTCCAAGGAATGTGTTTTAATTTTTTGCCCAGATAAAAGAAAATAAGCTTTGCACACACTCTCAATTCTTTACTTGCAGGCAAACTTCACTCTTTATTATCTGAAACTCTCCCATTCTCAGCCTCTTAGAGGCACAGATGGTTCAAGTTTCAGTGGCAAAAAAGTCTTTTTTTTTTTTTCGTAACCAAACTAGAGCAAATTTGGAATTCAGTCTGGGACTAAAACGTCACAGCAGAAAAAAAAAAATAAAAAAAAATAATTTGCTTTTTTTCTTTCTTTCATTTAGCAGCATAAATAAGTTTGGCCACTGGGAGTACAGTACAGGCTGGGACGGCGATCCCATAGTTGAAGACCTACTTCTAGCACCAGCATCGAGAATTCCATCCATCTCAGGACTCAGGAACCCAGGACAACTTGCCCCCTTTTGAGCAACATGTGCACTGAAGAGTGTATGTGGAAGCGACAGGAAATAGATTAACAGAGGCTAATACTGTGATTGATTGACATTGGCAATGGTTGGCAAAAAAAAAAAAAAAGCTTTTCATGATAACTGTACAAAAACAATTCACAGTAAAAATTTTTTTTTAGCTTTTCCACTCCAGAAAAAAAAAAAAAATAAATGACTTTTTGTTGTTGCAGCAGATGCTCTCTTCACCGGAAAGTCAACCGTCCTCACGTCGATGTTATTGCGGCTCTTTTCTCTTAGGTCTCCGTGGGGTGGACAGTGAGCAGACTCCAGCCCCGCTGTCCCACGACCACTGGAGCAGAAAAGAAAGAAAGAATTGCACCTGGTTTGGTTTCAAAGTCTCCTGCAAAGCCGCCCTCGGCCGGAAGTGAAGGCATCCCGGGCGGCGCCGGCAGCCTCCTCTCCGCTCGGTCCTGCTTCCACTTGCCCATCTTGGTCTGTAGGTCTTTGCGCTCTGTTGCCCCAAGCCAACATCCTGCACCACTGAGAACAAGGGATTTTTTTTCTTTTCCTTTTTTTTCTCCTTTTTTTCTGTTTTTTTTTTTTCTTTTTTACTTTTTTCTGTTTTTTTCCGCAGGGGGGAAGGGCAGGGAGTTTATCGTCTACATGTGTGGACAAATTCCTTTTTTCTGCTCTTCACTTCATGTCCACATCAAAGTCCAACACCAGCAGCTTGGTTTCCTCCGTCCCGTTCCGACTCCCAACCGCACACACCAGCTTCGTGTTCGAGGCTCTGATCCGCCACACCACACCCCCACTCCCCCCGCTCTCCAATGTGACTAGATTGCGAATAAATTCACCCGTTTTCAAGTCCCACAGTTTTACAGTTCCATCATCTGAGCTGGTAATGACAAAGTTCTTGTTGAACTGTAAACAGGTCACAGCACTCTGATGCTTGTTGGGACCTAGGCAAAAGCAAAGGCATTTCATTATGGGTTAGAAATCACTATACAGGCTGGCTAGCAGGTACCTGGCCGACTCAGACATTAGACAAGACCATAAGGGAAATATTTCAAAGGCTGCAGATTGCAGAATGGAGTTGAGGACTTCAGGATCAGCAGGGGTTGTAAGAAAATCTGGTCGCTATTTGTATAAGGGAAACATGAATTTTCAAGAGTTCTCTCTTCCGGGAAACTACCAGGCCCACATATGGCTTCCTAGCCATATGAGGCCGTGCTTTTCCTTTCTTCTTATTCTTTTTTCTTTTCTTTTCCTTTTTTTTTTGTTTTTGTTTTTGTTTTTGGGCCACACCTGGCAGTGTCCAAGGCTACTCCTGGCTCTATGCTCAGGGATCACTGCTGGTGGTGCTTGAAGGGAGCACAGGCTATGCTGGGTATCAAACGGGGATTGGCTACCTACAAGTGCCTTAATCCCTGTACTATCTCTCCCTGCCAAGGAGAGCTTTTCTGGATGGTGACAGAGAGGGCCCAGCTCCTGTGCACTGCAGCAGGACAAACGAGCATAAAGAGATCTGTTACCTTAACACTTTAAATGACCAAAGGGACATTATAAATCCCTGAGGAAGAGACAAACTCCAGTGAGGGAAAGAGCTGCAATGGAGTCCGCCATAGGGCCTCAATGAAGAGACACATGCTGAGGGTTAGGTTCAAGAAAAAAGGGTTAAGGACGGAAGATGCAAGCACTGCCATGTCTCATGCTGTCTCATTGGCTCTCACGTACGTCCCTATTTTAGCTGCCTTTCTATTCCTTCACCAACCGAGTTAGGAAGATGGCTAAGGGTCGAACTGGAGTCATAGCAACTTTCTGTGAGATGAAAAGTGCTTTCCCTTGTCCCAATCAAGTAACTCTAAGTTGAATGGGGTTATGAGATACTTGGACGTTTACAATAGGCAGGGTGCCTGCCTTGCATGTGGCTGAACCAGGTTTGATCCCTGGCACCATATATGGTTCCCTGAGCCAACCAGGAGTTATCCCTGAGTATTCCCTGGTGTGGCCCACAAAGAAGAAAAAAGGGGGGTAGGGGTATTATAAATTCAAAAATAAAATAGTCACTTAAAATAGCATGAATATGCTGCTCCTGTGAGCTAGTCAACATCTCCTTTCACATCGTTCTTCAAGGTTAGACAGTTACATGCAGGAAGTGATTAAACACTGGCATATTAAAAACACAACGTAAAACAGTGTCTCCAGGATAGCCTCGTTCTGTCAAGTTAGAGTGGAAATGTTCATACGCTTCACCCAAATAAGCATTTTCATTTCACACCAGTGAATTCTTTTTGTGGCATTCTCATGTTTAATGCACACTGGTCAAGATGGGTAGCCAATACATACCTTGCAATGTTTGTAAACACTGTCCTGTTTTGATATCCCAGATTTTAACTGTGGAGTCAGCATTCCCAGAGACGAGAATATTGTCCTTGAGCTCCATCCCACTTGTTAATGACTGGTGGCCTGTCAGCGTGTGAATGCAATTCCCTGTCTCCACATCCCAAACTCGGATTGATGTATCAAGAGATCCACTCACCACATGGATGCCATCAAACTGAAACAGATGCAGCATGTTAGACGAGAGGGGCAGACATTCGTCCTATTACTCACTATCCTTAATCCTTACAGGTGAGGAGAGCAGGGGAAACCACTAACACCAGGAACAAAATGAGGTCCTAGAGAAACTACAGCAATTAAACAACTCTGCAATGGATGCTCTCAGAAAAATGTATTAGAAATACGTTTTTTTTTTTTTAAAAAAATGGTCAGTGACTTCAAACTAGAAGCAGAAACAGACAGAGCTTGTGATAAATGGTATGCTTCTAATACTACATAGAAAATTTCTCATGTTTAAAACAAACACTATGCAAAATAAAAAGTTTCATTTACAAGAACCTAATGCTAATTAAGAAGTATATTAAGCCAATATAATTCTGTCTGGAATTAGAAAAGGGAGAATTCTGAAAACAAACTACCAAGCCCCTTTTCTCTGGATTCCCAGTGATGCCCAAATCCAACACATATCTATCCATTCCCAAAAGATTATAATAAAGTTGCTGCCTTACCCCGCCATTCAATCTCATGGTTGACTTAAATGAGAATAGTATAATCATTAAAGGTTCTGAACATTTCACAGAACATAAACTTAACCATAGTAATTCTCCTCTTCTAAATTCAAGACCTTTTCCACCTTAACAAACATCTTTATTATATGTCAACATTTCATGACTTGGCTAATTGATCATCAGCAGTTCAGAAACACGTACCCCAAGAAGAGAATTGTCAGTGTTGGGGTGAGGCCCCAATGGTGAGGCCTGCTTAAGGAAGCCCATCCTTCAATGAGCTGTACAATAAGAAATACGGCTGCACTTAACTCCTGCCTTTCAGAAAAAGCCAATTAGGCCCCTCGTCCACAGTTTGCTGTTTATCGAGGTACCGATTGCCCAGTGGCAATCAGTGCCGGCCGGGATTCTCAGGTTCAAACAGAAATCCAAAGCCAGTTTCACCCAACTGACTCCACCGTGGAGGTCTGTGCGCGCAGAGTAGCTTGCTGCAAAAGGCGCTACTTCCACTCTGAATGGGGATGGAATCACAATTACATGGTCCATCAACTTTCAGCTATCAAAGCGAAGGGGCACCTTTTGGTCAAATTAATCCTCTGCTAAGGAGTTTATGAAAATCCAGGTTATTCTCCTGAGAGACCATCTACCCAGTAATTAACAGAGGCAAATTCAAGTTTCCCAAGTCTCTGGCTCCAAGACAAATATTTACATTCGAGAAGAAACAAAGTGATCACCGACCACTTGCAACAAATCACTGAGATAATTTCCGAACACACACCACTGGTGTGCCAATTTGAAAGGCCACACATAAGGCAGGCTAAGTGGCTGCTGTTTGGGGGGCTGCACTGCATCAGCAAACTGACAGTGGTTATCTGAGGAAAACAATGCTCTGAGTCATCGGGTGAGCGTCTTCAGGCTAGAGAGATGCGATCTCTTACCTGTAATGAATAGACTCTATTGGTATGCCCTTGCAGCGTGTGTAGACAGGTCTCGGTCTCTGGATCCCACACCTTCACCATGAAATCATATGCTCCACTAACAACCCTCCTGCCATCATACTGAACACAGCGGACCGCGGCTACGTGACCCATCAAGACATGTAAACACTGGCCTGTCTCAATGTCCCAGACCCTAAGAGTGGCGTCTCGAGAACCGCTCACAACTCTGGAGGTGAGGAAAAAAGAGAGAGAGGGAAAAAAAAATCATCAGGACTTTTCAAAACATGATAATGCATGACCAAAAAGTCAGTGGTTACTCAACACCCCCCGCCCCAACCTGTTTTCAAAAGAAATCCTATGGAAACCCTGAATATATAAACACATCAGAGTTGAGTGACTCTGGCTGGGAAGTGCGGAAGTCGAGAATGATGTCTCATTTGTTCTCACCTAGGACAGATTGTGGTTCTGTGGCTCCTGGAACAGTTTGAAAGGCTGTACTGTATTGAAGAAAGCAACAGCCAGCACTAAAAATATCCACCAGGATGCTGATTTTGGAAATGAAATGCTAATGAGAACAATATGTATAAAATATTAATGGGGGGAATTCTGGATGATACTACTTTGAAAATATGAAATTTTCTTTTTTGTTTTTCCTGCCCTTTTCCAAATTTGCAACTAAATGATTATTTCCATTGTGACTAGGGGCTGGGGAGGGGGGAGGAATCAATACAAATTATTTAGCAAATGAGAATTTGGAATTTAAATGGCTAAAGAGGTGTGCTTTATTTCATATTCTCTGACTAACCAGTTCTAGACATTTCATATGACAAATGCTGTGCATTTCTATAGTTATAACAACTCTTCAGCAAGCACCGGGGAATTAACATGTACGGATTTTTAGAAGATATACATGTAGACGCAACAAAACACCCCTAAAAATGTGGTCTAACACAACAAACATTATATTTTTTCAGAGACCAGAATGATACAAATGCTGCAATTATCTTTGGATTACAAAGGACAGCTAAAGACTCAGGTATCTTTATGTCATTCTTGAGCGATAAAAAGGCCATAATTTCCACATTTGGAAGAGTAGAAAATGGAAGCATTGAGAGATTCAAGTCAGAACATAATGGAAACTGAAATTGCAAGGCCTCCAGATCCCAATATCCTACATTTTAATAGTAAAGCACTCTGTTCAAAGTAGATTCAAATTACAAGTGAAAAAGTACCTTCTTCACATATTACAAATCTGGTATGAAGTCTGCTTAATATAATGGTGCTTAATAAAGAAGATGCAATGGACAGAATTAAAGGTAAAGACTAGAGTGGATTTACTCGAAGGACCCTTCAGGGAGACATTTTTTAACAAACGAAGTAGAAATCACATTTATTCAACTGGAGCACCATGAAGATAGGAAGGTGCCAAAAAGTAGGATCTTACGCAGAAACAGCTAAAAGAAACAGGAGGGGCCGAGGAGATAGAGCAGCGGGCAAGGAGTTGCCCTGTGCACACACAAACACACACAGCTCACTAGAGTTTGATCCCTGGCACCCCATATGGTATCGAGCCCTGCCAATAGTAATCCCTGAGGCATAGTCAGGTGTGGGCCTAAAAACTAAAATAAATGAAAACAGCAGCAGAGGCACTGGGAAGAAAAAGTCAAGCAAGTCTGTCTTGGTTGAAACAATTTTGAAAACCAGATTAAGAATTTCTTCCTTACTTTGGGAAGCAACAGAAGTCCCTGCCAAAGGGAAGAAAAAGGTGAGAAGACCATGTGTGAAAGCTATGCCAACGATTCAGGTGGCAGGTAGTAAGGTAGGAAATTACAAGCCACGGGCCTTAGCTTTTAGAAAGAGAGGATATGATATGGGAGTGGGGGATAGTTGAAAAAAGACTCAGAGACCTGAAGGTTGAATAAATTTGTCCCTCGCAAACAGAAATATATGGAAAAAAAGGGGCAAAAAACCGATTTCTCTCGTCCCCACCCCCCCTAGTGATGGGGATTAAACCTGGGCCCTCTAGACACAGTGAGGTCTGGGTTGCACACCCAGTCCCCAAGATTTGGAGAGAGGGATTAGGCTGCACACAGTTGTGTTCAGGGCTTATTCCTGGTTCAGCGCTCAGGAGCCAGTAGGTAGTGCTGGGGATTAAACAGGAGCTGACCAGTTCAAGGCAAATGCCCTCCACGCCCATCCCCAACCCTCTACTAGTTCTCCAGCTCCTGACCATGATTTTTGAAAGAAGATAATGAATTTTCTTCTTAAGACATAGAAGAAAGTGAAGCATCAAGCATGACTAGGGAGCAGAATTTTGAGGAGGAAACAACAACACTACTTGGAGGAAGAAGACTGAAAGACAGATCTCAATTCTAAGCCAACGCACCACTGCTTTCCCAGTAGAGAATCAAGGCAAACGTAATAAAGTGTTGTCTAGGAATACAGTACCACAATTTATAACTCGAACTTGACACTCAAGGGGAGGGGAGCGCGGAGCCCCTGTGCGCCACTGCCTCACCTTTTCTCATGGAGGTGCATGCAGCGCACAGTGGACGTGTGGCCGTAGAGGGTGTGTATACATTCTCCGGTCTCTGCATTCCATACTTTGAGCGTCCGATCTGTAGAGCCACTAATGATGATATTGTCTCTCATCTGTGATGACCACACGCCTCCGGTGTGTCCCACCAACGTCCTTAAACACTGGGAAGAACACTTAGGATGGTTACTTTGGGGTCAAATGGAAAACGATTTGCACCATGTTTGAACCGCTCGCTAACCTATGGAGTTAAAAAGCATTTACTCTGCTTGAACATGTGGCAACTGTGCAGATCCATTTAACACAATCCCCCTCTATTTACTGCTGCTTGTTCAGCATCGCTGCATATTACCCAGGCACACGCTGAGGGAGACTATGTAGAAAGCAGACATTCAGTGTTAAAACCAGGACAGTTTCAGCCGGGCTGCTCTGATGCAATTATACTAAAATTGCAACTAGGTTTCTTCGAGGGGAACAGACTCAGTGAAAGCAAGCCAATAGCGTTGGGTGTGGCTACATACCACATTTCATCGGAACCTGCCCCAAGGCAGCAGTTACGAGTCAGGCAAGATACTTCTAGACAAGTAAAGACAGACATTAAAACCCTGAAGTCAGTCCAAAACGAATATTATACTATGGAAATATGAAGCTGCTTTCAAAATCTTTAGCATCTGACTTGAAATATTTAGAAGATTCTTGCCTGCGAGTCAACATGTTGTAAGACATTGTTTTAAGAAGACAGATTCCCCCACCCATCACGGTACTTTCCATTGTGGTGCTCAATCTCTTAACTCATGTAAATATTCTCCACTGGACAGATGAAAATAAGTATTCACTAGAGAACCAATAGGCATAGTATTATATATCGTTGATTGGATTGCATGGAAAGCTTTCTCCTGCAAACTCCTATTTAAATACTTAGTTGGCTTAATTCCATCTGACAGGGCTTGCGCAAGTCTCTATCAACGTGATTTAATTAACTCCTAAGCTACAGACAGGTCATTAACAAAGCAGATTGCAAAGAAAACCCATCATGTCTCAATCATATTTTTTGAAAAAGATGGAAAAGGAAGGAGCTACAACTTAGATGGTTAATAAAGGTGAGAAAAATTAAGCCAAGGAAAAGATAAAGCACATCTTAAAAACAGCAAAGACACCAAGACCAACTATGTAAATAAAGATTAATGACATTCTTATGAGAAACATTATCTTACCAAGAGAAAAGGCTCAATTAGAAACTGACACTTTCTATCAAAATAAGCTACCGTCAAAAATGAACCCTTGTTTTCCTTTTACTAGCTGATTCTTATAAACATACACAAGCTTTTCCCTTCTATCCAAAGCAGATATTCCTATTTGCATGATTTAGGAAGTTGGTTTGGGGGACTGAAGGACTAGGAAGATGAAAAAGTATTCCATGAAATGGAATGGTAGTAATCTTCCTGTCTCCAAAAACGTCATCTATCAGATCACATCAAATCTTACTTCAAGAGCAGGGAAAAGCAGTACCCACATTGCAGAGTGCAGAAGAACTTACTTTCCCTGTGACGGCAGACCAAACTTTTAAAGTGTTGTCATCAGAACCACTGACGACTCGGTTCCCACAGAACTGTAAGCATGTGATTACATGGTCATCATGGCCTTTCAGCACCTGTAAGAGAGACATGGATTACAACATCGTGTTAAATGGTGCTGCTTCAAAAACAAAATATTGGTGGAAAAAAACAAGGAAGAGGGGGTGGTAATCTATACATTTTTTTAGGATAAAAATTTATATAAAGTATGAACCATCATCCTTACTGGCTGATGAATCACTAAGTGTTTTATTGTTTCTGTCATCTTTTATTTATACTTCGGTCAACTACTAACATTTTACTGAGTGAAGATCTTTTATAAGGATGGTTCACATACAAATATGCTCAGGTATCATCTATTTCTTCTGTTTAGATCAAAAGAATGTATGTGCATCTAACTTTTGCAATTCTGATGCATAAAAGAAAAAGCACTTACTAGAGAGACTAGAGCACTAATAATCACAAACTTTTTCAACTTACAAAAAGGCTGCTATATAATATTCCTATTAGCACAGCGGGTAGGGCGTTCGCCTTACAAGCGGCCAACATGGCCGACCCGAGTTCGATTCCTCTGCCCCTCTCGGAGAGCCCGGCAAGCTACCGAGAGTATTCGATATGCCAGACACAGTAACAACAAAGTCTCCAATGGAGACGTTACTGGGCCCGCTCGAGCAAATCGATGATCGAGCAAATTAATAGAACAACAACTCCCCCAATTTTTTATTATAAAAGTACACTACTTAATGCCAACCATTCTACCATTTTTTAAAAATAAATTTGGAATAGTTAAGACAGAAATCAGTATTATTCCTAAATCATATCAGACAATGTGGTCAGAAGAGAAAACAAATGATCAAATTCTTAGGTCGAATGTAGACAACATAAAATTCAACATGATATTCAGAAAATTTCATTTATGTAAGAGAAACTGACAATGTAATTCAGCTCATCTTTTATCTGAGTACAATGAGTTGTCAGACTAAAGAAATTAGTAACAGAGGAATACTGTCAGTTCCACGTTCAGTTTCCTTAAAAAAAAAAAAAACTATCGATACCTTTCTACAGAAGAGGTGTCAGGTTAGAGCTCCTGCCAAGAAGATTAAAAAGCACACAGGAACCAACACCCAAGAAGTGTTTCTAACCGGTGCAAGAGTTCAGTTACCTTGGGCGATTTGAGTTCTCCTCGCCTCCAGTTGGTATCGATTCTGTGCTGCCTGATATACGCGCTTTTCCATGGACTGTGGATGAATCCCGGCTTTATTACTTTTCTTCTCTTGATGTGCAATGGCTCATCAATACCTAAGTTTTAAAGAAGTAAAGAGTGTCACTACCCTCACCCAAAATATAAATTTTATAATCTATCTCATCCCTCCCCTTCACATCCGCTGATATGTAAGCTGTTAAAATGTTTCTGATTTCTCTTCCTTGTTTTTCACTTTCTGGGTCACACCCTAAGGTGCTAAGGCCTTACTCCTGGTTCTGCACTCAGGGATCACTTCTAGTAGGGCTGGGGGGAATCATTTGGGGTGCCAGGTATGGAGCCGGGAGCCAGCTGCACATAAGGCAAACACCCTACGTGCTGAACTCCAGCCCCTAAAATGTTTCTGTTTTCAAAGTTATTACTAAACAATAATGTAAAGCAGATATTCTGTATTGAATGCTTATACATGATTATATTTCTTTCTCTAGACAATTCTATGAAATACTGGTGAGGAAATGCTGGTACAGAAACTGCAAAGCTTCTGGAATATAAAATTGTACAGCCGATGTAAAAAATAATTTGGCATTTCCTAAAAAAAAAAAAAAGAAGTAAATATAGAATTGTCACATGATCCAGAAAGTGCAATTCTGGAGATATATATACCCCAAAGAAAGCAGGAACTCGGGCAGATATCGGTACACAGTATCAGCGTTCATAGCCAAAAGGTGAATGCAAGCCACATGTCCACAATGGATGAAAGGAAGAGCATGGTGTGGTACCTTCCCACCAACAGTGTCATTCAGCCTTACCAAGGGAGGCGATTCTGAGACATGCTACCAGTGATAAGCCATGAAGGCAAGATGCTAAATGAGACAGGCCAATCACAGAGACTGTCAAGACTCCTTGTACAAGGCACTCAGTCACAGTTACAGGAGAAAAGAGAGGATGGTGGCCATCAGGGCCTGCAGTGAGAAAACAAGGGAGATGCAGCAGGGAAAGACACAAAAGCTGGAGATGGAGGGTGGGGCGGTTATCAAATGCCGCAAAGGTCTTTGTTTTGAAAGGTGAAGTCACTGGACATCACGGAATGGTATACTTCAAAAACAGCTAAAATAAGGTACTACTTGGGGTATGTGAATGTTACAACAAAATTTGAAGTAGATATTACAGATTCTATGAAAGGAGTGATTACTGCCACTTTTGGTATAAAGATACTTGGGGAGAGAGGGGCTCACCGATTCTCTAAGACACGGCCAGGAGGGCAGAGACATCAGAAACCAGCAATCCCATCCCCCTCCTCCAAGCTGTGTCTATGGCTCTGGGAAGGGGGTGCTCACCTATGGAGACGTATCATCTTGGAGCCCCCACAATCAGTCTCTAGTGCAACTGCACTTGGGGGACGATAAGTGATAAAGGGGTGATAGGCACACAAATCTGATAACCTCTGCTAGAGTTCCTGCCTCTAGCTCTCTGGTCCCTTCTCAAAACTTCTGCTGCTCAGAGGCAAATCAGACTGTATATAGCACTGTAGCACTGTCCTCCTGTTGCTCATCGATTTGCTCGAGCGGGCACTAGTAATGTCTTCATTGTGAGACTTGTTACTGTTTTTGGCATATCGAATACATCACAGGGAGCTTGCCAGGTTCTGGCGTGCGGGTGGGATACTCTCTGTAGCTTGCTGGGTTCTCTGAGAGGGACAGAGGAATCAAACCCGCTCGAGTGATAGCACAGCAGGTAGGGCATTTGCCTTGCACGCAGCCAACCCGAGTTCAATTCCCAGCATCCCATATGGTCCCCCAAGCACTGCCAGGAGTAATTCATGAATGCAAAAAAGCCAGGAGTAACCCCTGTGCATCGCCGGGTATGACCCCCCTCCCCTGCAATAAAAAAGCCAAAAAAAAAAAGACTATATATTTTTTACAAAAACATTTTTCTACAAGCCTGCTGGGAATTAGAAAAAGTAATGTTATGGATGATACCTACACTTCTCTACTAAGAAACAAGAAATGTAACCCCCCCCCCCAAAAAAAAAGTGGTCCTCAAGAAGCTTAACTCCAAGGTGGGGAGGGGAGTGGAATTCGTTGCTGAATTGGGAAGCATTTAAGAATGCCTCACTCACAGGGGGTGTTCAATCCATAGCTGTGGGCACAATGAACAGAACAGGGACTAATTCTCTGTTAATATCATGTTTTGATTTCCTTTAAATCATTCTCATCTTGCCTTTTTTTCATTCCTTACTCATTCAATGAGAGACTGAAAATCAGATCCATTTGGCTCCTGCAGTGCTGCTCACTAAAGGGGTCTGCTGTAAGACTGGGCTCAGGCGACAACCCCACCCCCACCCCACCCCTGCCCGTCACCACCTTCACCACTGCCCCTGCCAGAGGCACACAAAGGTCTGATGGTGGCTGGGGAAGGGCAGGAGATGGGCCTTCCTGATCCCCGGCGGGCTTGTCAAGGCTCCTGCTCTACCACCGGCACACGGCAACTTCTGGCTCTGGTTCGTTTCCATTTTCAACGGGCTTTTTCAAAGGGCAAATAATTTCTCTCTGTGATTTTGAGCCTTACCCTCCTCCTTGCATTTCTCTCTCCAGAGAAGGTTGTCTTCAGCCAAAATCCTCCAGTAGCGGCAGGTCTGAGCCGCCTGCAGCAGATCTCTGGGTTCCAGGAATGAAAGCACGTACAGCGCCAGCTATAAGAAAGAAACAGCATGGTATGCCCATGGTTTAACAGTATAAAAACAGCAATTAGTTACTTTCTACAGGATGAAGTGTATAATTGTAGGTAAGTGAATCTAACAGAATGTTCTAGTTCTAAAATTATAGAAGAAAAGTTTGAGTATTTCACCTAAACCAATATATCACACCAGATTTAAAAAAAGAAAAGAAAAAACCAACCCAAATTCTCAGCTGGTTATGACGTACTTCACTAATTCCTTACCTCTTCAAGGAATATCTGCCTTTGCTTCTCTATGAGCCTCAACTCAAGATTTTTATTCATTTCTTTTATGCTATTGTCAAATTTTGTTTTATCTTCTCTCCATGTTTCAATGTAAACCCACTGAATTTAAGTCACTGAAGACTTAAGATAAATAAGATTTCTGTATTTTCTGCATGCTATGGTTTTGATCACTTCTGATAACTGTGATTACCAAGTTTTCATCACATCAAAGTGTTTATTATCATAATGATAGGTTCTGCAAACATTTACAACACTGACTATAAGTAACAAAAGTGGACAATTATCAAATGGCTCTCTAGATAAATAAAAGTTAATTGAGATCTAATTACTTTATGTTGCTCACAGGGCTTTTCACATGTGCCAGATAGGATTGATTGTATAGTTGAATTACCTCTTAGGTAGATAGGTATATTACTGATTTTAAATTTTTGATTTTAGTATTTGCAACCATCAATTATTTTTCCTTTCAGTATACAAAGTCAATGCAAGAATATAAAAAAAGAGAAAAGGGAAGTAATAACAGCTTCTGGGTATGCTTACTGAAACCTCACAAATGACGTATAATTTTAAATTATGACAATGGAACAAAAATTATCTAAACAGTAATATCATCTGAGTGAATTCTGAGGTTTATATGGAAGGTACTTCAACGTGAGTAGTCAATATAATATTACTGATAAAGGATAGTTACAAACACTTTCGTGGACTAATTATTTTTGACCTATCAGAGAAGACCTTCGCTAGAATATGTAGAAACTAATTTATTAGAAATAAAAAGGCATAATTATATTCAATAATCTTTATGTGAATGTTGAAATATGCATCTCAACAGAGTACTTTTTCATGGATACTCCATAACTACTTAATTTTTCAAAATTTCAATTACTTAAGTCTAGGAAAATTTGCATATCAGTTTAACAGCAAAGTGATAATTCCACATTATTAATCTTCTGTACGAAAGTGCTATTTAGCAAAAATAACCATGCTAGAAAGGAGATGCTACTTAATGTCCAAAATAATTAGGTTGTACAAAAAATTTTATTCTTTGACTTTGCTTTTCCAATTTTGGCAGAAATCAAATTATATACAGAAACATTCAATAAACTGCAAAGGCTAATAAAAAACAAGTCCAGAACATCTTAGGTTTCAAAGATATACCCCCAAAATCAACAAACAAAAATTCCCTTTACTTCTGATAATTAAAAGATGATCTAGCACACGTCTGTGTGTGTTCAAAAGAAATGTTCAAATATATTCAAGTGCAAAAGTTGAAATATCAGCTCCACAGGTAACTGGCACATTCACCTTAAGGCGATAAGCAAAGGCCCTAACTCAACCACAAACCTTGATTTATTTAATGATCATCTATTTACTTTTAGCCAGTTTCATCAAAGCATATAGGCATTATAGAAAATACATATAGAAAAACATAAACCAGAATCAGAAATCAAAACCAGAAATGATATGTCAAAAATGGTTTAAATCGGGGGAAAAAGTAGAATGCAACTTATTCTGGCAACAATATCTTACATGTTTTTGAATTAAACTGCCAAGCCAAAAAGACAACAGCAAAGTTACCTAATTCTTAGTATTCTGAATTATGCAAGTTCCATAAAAGAAATAAGGGTCCATCACGTGAGACTCCTCTCAGAGGAGAGAGAGCACACCTTTCCTAAACCACACCCAACTCCATTCTATGGGATCAAACTTAAAGTTTTTTTGCAGACATGTGAAAAATGTAGATTCAATACAGGTTTTCTTTTCATCTGTTTTAAAGGCAAAATTCTAGATTAGTAATTTTTCCCAGGGAGCCCTTCTACCAGAGAAAGAGAACCTCTTAAAATGGAAAATGATCAGAAAAATCATTTTCTCAGCCCCAACTTGTAATTTCAATGGGAGCTGCTTTTTTTTCTTCTCTATGGTCTATACAAAAACCCACAACATTACTCTCAAAAGATAGTTTATACTTTCCCAAATTTTAGTGAAAGGGAAGAAAAAAGTAAAAGAATACAGAAAATGTTGGATGATCTTATGCTAAGAATTCAGGTTTTGTTCTAGATCTTTTACTATATCACTAATGCTTTTCTTGGTAGTTACTTACAAAATAAGGATAATGCTGTTTATCACAAGCCTCCCATGTGAGACTAGTGAGATTTTTGTCAAGGTTTTTGAGATAAATAAGTAAATGTTGGTAAAGAGCTTTGAGATCTGTTGAAAGGAATTATAAAAAAATTATTAATGCTTATTTCCTGACATGAAGGTAATAATGATTTAAATAATAATAATAATACTAGTCTCCAATAAAATGTTAGTTTCCTTAGGAACTTAGAACCATACCATTTTTCTCATATAAAATAAAGCAAGTTTTTCAAATTAGTAAAGTTTTCCCCCCACAAGTTGGAAAAAAAAGGGGGGGGGAACACAGTTGATAAGTTACTCTCGCTCTTCTATCTAGCATGACCTCTTTTTCCTCAGAGAATTTTTCAGAGAAGACTTCATATAAAAATTCTGTCTGGTTATTGATAATTTGCGCTTTGTTCTTAGATGCTTGAAAGCACTTTCATATTCTGATTTTAAATCACATTATTGTGTTTAGCAGTTACTATGGAAATCCAACTAAACACAACCAAAACAAAACCTTACCATTCCTAGGGCTAAGGGGAAAAACTAGACTCAGATTTTAATTATATTTTAGATTTAAACTACACCCTGGATGTCAACAAAATGCTATCACTTAATAGAAGGTAGGCAGCAAATGAAACTATGAGTACAGTGTGAATAAATTCAGTCAAATGCTTACAAAAGAGGTTCCTATTACTTATGTCCTTCTGAAAGAAACAAAAAGTCCTTATGTCAATTTTGTAAGCTGTTTCTGTTCAAAAGATAGTTTTAGAAAGAACTAGTAAGAATATAATTGTTTCTGTGATTTAAAAACATCACTCCAAAGAAGGAAATTTTCAGACAGAAGATGTCCCCCTCCCCACTTTTTCTTGAAATTATGCTAGCTCTAAACATTTACTATGATGAAGCTTTTATTCATAGCCAATGCCCTAAAATATTTAGTGTGATTATTTGAAAAAACGGATTCCTTTGTTCTTTCTATTTGAAGTTTCAGAATCATTTGCAATGGTACATTAGTCTCTTACACTGTCTTCTTAGCTGACATATAATTAGTGGCATATACATAATTTGTGAAAACATAAATCACAGTGACATTACTTAATGTTATAGTATTTGCTGATAAAAATAACGCTGTAAATCCTATAAACATAATAAATGATGCCTCATTTACACAGGCAAGAATGCCATATGAGCAATCAGCCTGATAAAAAGTATCACTTTATATAAAATGTATGTAAATAAATGGGCATGAGAAATTACAAAATACATACTTATATAAGAATGTGCTTGGTACAGGAAATCTATGACAATATATTTTTGTAGACAAATTGGATCAGAAGGGGAGTGATTAGTAGAAAACAGCATAGATGTAAAATTCTACATATTTAAAATAAGTATGAAATATAAGGAAAGGAAAACTACAATTCAATACTATAGAACTATCAGACATATGGACTCAAGATAAACAGACAGTAAACTAAGAAAAAGATGTTGCTGTTTCAATAAAACCTGAAGTTAAGAAACCCTACTACTACAATAAACATACAAAGACAACTAACGGCTGGACTTCAAAGTCTTTTAAAGAAATAACAACATTAAAGAAACTTAAAACCTGCCCTCACATACATTTATACCAGTGGTGGAAAGAAATCACTTAGTCCACAGACAAACTTGATCTGAGAATTATATTACTAAGTGACAGCAGTTTATCATTTATGGCCTCTTTCAACACTAATTGAGAGTGATAAACAAACAACACTGAATACCATAATTAGCATGACAATGTTTAAAGGTAGGTGCTGAGTTACAGTTTCAAAGACTCCCCAAGGGAAAATAGAGTTGAAAATCCATACCTCTTTAGGGAGCAAGGAAATGAAGTCTCGTTGAAACTGGGGCTCTATCACTTGCATCATATGTTTTACTTGGGTTGGTTCACAACTATCAATCAGTTCATCTAAAGCAAGTAATTTCTCTGGTCCACTCCAGCTCTATCAGAAAAGGAATGAGATGTTTTGGTTATTTTGAAATGTCTCTTCATAAGTCCATAGAGAAAAACCCACACTTACAAACAAACAATGTAAAAAGTGGCTTCTTGAGGCCAGACAGATACCTGTCTGGATTAAGGCAGGTGACTATCTTAGTGGCTACCTCTATATTGTGAAAAGTCTTAAGACAGAAAAAGAATTTTGCTTTACATTACTATGTTATGGTCTTCTAATACTGAGACACTGTCTGAAAAATCAAGCTATTCAATTTGAATTATCGATCAAATCAGTATATCTGACAGGTGTTTTTTTTTCAACCTATCCTCCTTCTAGTAGAAACTGTAAGACTTGATGGTTTTAATAAGGTGCTCATCTGAGAATAGAAGACTGGCAGCATCATTGAGAGAAAAAAACAGTAACTGGACAGACTATATGTCTCTTCAACAAATTCAAAGGGCTTTGATTTGATATGTAAAAATAATTTTCAGCTACAACACAACTAGCTGAAAATAATAGCTAAGTAAAATCAGAATATGACAAAGACAAAAAGAATGGAAGAACTAAAAGTACTTTAGTTATGTACATTATGGAACACCTACTACATAATGGAACACCAACACACAATAGCTGCTCTTCAAAACTATGAACTCCTGAGAGGAATTTTTAGAAGGAAAAACTGAAAAATCATGTGAGTAATTTAAATGTCAGCCTCCCCAAACAATTATATAAAACATTTACATAATTGAAATATGTGAATCAAACCATGAGCAAGCATATTTAAGAGTCTGTGAATTAGTAAGTCCATTTTGAAAGTTGGTGAAGAGAGAACAACAGGGGAGGCATGGAGCTAAGATGGGTATATTTATAATCCATTTCTGGTTTAAACCAGGAACCTGTATTATATCACATGTCAAACACTGATTGAAAACAGACCCATTGAGGATATGAGACGATATTTGAATATTTTAAGAAGCATCTGAGTGTTAGAATTTACAGTGAACTTCATCTCTTCGTTCCTCTCATAACTATCACACATTTCCGTAGTACTTCCATAGAGCTTATCCAAACATTTTCTCATTTAGTTGACCTAGAAATCCTGGAGGAATCTCCCTGTTTTACCCCCAAGAGGAAACACAGGCTACAATAATTGTTTTTTATTTTCTCTTTACTCAGAACATTGCCTTTGAGTATTCATCTTGTATTCTTTCGGTCAGGGCAAGAACTTATACATAGGAATGAAACATACTCAGATACATGTATGTACATACACACAACCAATGAGAAGGGCTTAATTTGAAGCTGGATTATTCTGTTCCCTCAGGAGTTTCAAATTCTTGTTCAAAACTTACCTCTGACAAAACTTCAAGTGACCAGCCTTTGTTCACTCCTGATCATTTAATATCAATACTAATGACTATGACTTAGATTTTTTTGTTTTGGGGTCACAATTTCTGGTGCTCAAGGCTGAGAACTGGCTGTGTACAAGTCAACTGCCTTATCTGCTGTACTTCTCTCGCGCTCCAAAGGTGCGATAAGAAATTCACTGCTTTTCTCCATGATCAAGATTCATGGACACCAGTACAAGGACACGGTGTCCATTTTGGGTGATGGACGACTGGGCTGACTTGAATAAAATGCTGGATTTTTCTCTCCATATGCACATCCGCAGAGCTCGCTATTTCAGTGGAATGTAAAATCAGACCCCCTCACTCACACAGTCAGCTGGTTCAGACCCACTGGCAAATCCCAGGGATTTCAGCCCCCAGTACAGCCCTGAGCTTGGCAACCAGTCTGAGCTGCTATGATCTCTCCCCTGGCCTGTTCCTACCCCACCACAGCCTCCCACTGGCCACTTTATCTTTGCTCTACAGAGTCACTCAATTCTTCAATTCAAATCCTCTAGCACTTCCAATTTGATTCAAAGTAAAAACTAAAGACCTTGACAGGCTGACAAGGTCTTCTTTTTCCCCCCTCTCTCCCATTTTTTTTTGGGGGGGGGGTAAGTGGAGGGCAGGAGGTAGGGAGAAACAGTGCTGAAGGGCTTCCCCTGCTGAGTGTATGAGGGTCACCCTAGTGGTGCTCTGGGGGACCATACAGTACTGGGGACTGAACCCTGGGCCTCCTGCAGAGCGTGAGTTCCAGACCAAGGGAATTCTCTCCCTGGCTCTGCTATCTCTGCCTGACTTTGCCTCAAACACACCAAGCATCCTCTGGCAGAGCCTTTTACTTGCTTTCCCCCCCTTCAGATCCTTACTTGGTTCCTTTCTTCTCTGAGACCTTTTAAGGACAACCTTCCTAAAACTGTAGACTCATCAGTCCCAAGCCCCTCATCCCACTCCTCTCCTGATCAGAACGGAAGTCCTACCCAGGGGGCTTTCAAAAATAGTTCTGTTCACTGTTGTATCCCAGATTCAAAGAAGAGCCACCACATGACCAGTACTCAGGAAGGGTTCACTGACTCTGCGAATGAAATCCTCAAGGAACTAGGAAATATTATACCAAGACAATCTCAGAACTCACTTCAAGGAGTGCTTCTATTTTTATATTTCATGGTATCACTAGGTTTTCCTTCCTTAGTCTGGCTCAAACTCTGGTATACATACATGAATTACAGAAGCAAGGGAAGTATATTTCAACACAAAACTTGCATGCGTAACTCTGACTCCCACCAACATGATCCTGACATGAAGAATAGTAGAAAGAGCATTGAATTGGGAGATCAGGAAACCCAAGCTAGGCAGGGGCTACTGCCACTAATTAAGTTATAATTTAACCTCTGCAGGGCTTCTTTTATTTATCTGTGTAAGTGTTGGCTAATTTCAGTGATAATCATTAGAATTCTTCCAAGCTGTCTTGGAAAATAAAAAAAAAGCAAGCATCCTCTTTTGGTCTCTCGAAGTAAAGTTATGCGGGGCTAGGGGAAACATTCCATGCTGAGAGAGATTCAAGGGAAATGAAACTCAATTTGGGGGCAAAATTGCAAATTTGAAAAAAAAATCCCCCAATTCACTGTGGACTTGGTATTTGTTTTCAGGCCATTAGCAAACAGTACAGGGAACAGAGACAGGGAGAAGGAGCAATGTGACAGGGGGCGGGTCTTGGGTTTGCAGTGGCAATCGTGGGGGACTGCTGGACAGTCCCCTCGTTAATCTGTGTCAGACGCCCCACCTGGATAATGAGGGGCTTGGTCCACATCAGTGTTTCCAAATGCCAGATGAAGAGAGCAAGAATCAAAGAGGTCTGCAAACTACCCTCACCAACTGTCTGATTCAGTGGTCAAGGTGGGGCTGAGGACGCTTTATGTTTTCAACAACTCACCCAGTACTGATGCGGGTGACTCACCAACCAGTCTGGAGGCCCTTATTCCTCCATGCAGATACATAGTTTATGGCTGGGGCAGTACTGGGGTAGCTGCCTGGATTGGTAACTGTCTTCTCTAGCACCTGCAGCAAATGGTGATCCAATCTGTTGGATGTTTCATCACTGGGGTATTTACTACACCATACTTAGTACTCCATTTTACTCTGGATCAACTCTAATTGTTAAGTTCAACAAACATCAATATCTGACTCAATGAACATAATCCTGGAGATAATTTGCTTTCTGAAGAAACTAACCACCTGATTCTACTTTTATATGAAGTCCTCAAGAATGCTTCAGAGACACACTTTCCCACAGCATTGTCTGGCTAAATACAATGACTTTTTTATTTTTCACACTACAAGTTTCTTAACCTTAATATTTCAAAATAACTGCAAAGTAATAAATATAGAATTCATTTTTTGTGAATGAATTCATAAAATCCCATTTTAGTATTTGTTGACAAGCAAAATAAGAGCACAACAAAACAAGTTAGGGAACAAATACAATCTCTAAGTTACCATGAAATTCGATTAAATCTTCAGTAGTTTTAATTTAAAATATTAAAACAAAGAAATAATTTTACTTAATTCTTTTTAAACAAATTGAATATAACAGGAACTTTCAAAGCATACTGATACTTTCAACACAATTATGCTGTGATAAAAATAATGCTAATAATATCAGGCTGATACTGTTTCTATGAAGCTAGTATAAACAGCCCCCTTTTAGAGTTAAGAAAACTGAGACTCACAAAGGTGGTTTCCTGATCAAAAGATGAAGTTAACATTTACTGAGTCTTCATTATATGTCCAAGTGTAGCTTATTTGCATGCTTTCTCCCTTTGCCATTTTAGTATTCTATCTATTGTATGGAATACAAGAACAATATATAGCATCTATGAAATTATCCAATAAGAGGCAGAGGCAGATCCAGAAGTTGTACTAAGAGCTTTTTCTTTTAATAGTATGTGTTTCTTATTTTATCATGTCTTATCAGGATGTTGCAGAACTTTCAACATGAAAGAATATGACATTACTAGTGCCTTTGCCTACTGACAATTTTCTAGTCAAGTTACAGGTAAAAATGGTTTAAAGTCCAGACGACATAAACAAAGAACCAATTTCCAAAAAATTAACAATCGAACACCCTCCCCCCACAGCAAAAGCAGAACTAATGGCTACTGAAAATTTAAATAGCACTAAAGATCTGGGCCTCTGGTTCTGTTTCTGATTTGCACTTCTGTTTTGCAGAGGCATTCTGTTTCAATTTCCTTTATCCAAAGTGGTGTATCATTTGTTCTCATCCAATTTACAAATTGAGCACAGAGTACTTTGTCAGACTGGATGGAGCTGCACCAAAATAATGCTGTATCACTGCCTTAGGAGCAATAGCTGGGCTGTAAGTGGAGAAGTCCTCCCATTTTGCTTATTATGCAACAGAAAAGTCATCACTAAATGCCCCCCTACTCCCTGGCCTATCTGCAGAAATTATGCCAGTTTAATTACCCCTCAACTCCACCACACAGGTCAACTCAAGACTCCCCCACTTTACTATGAGATTACGTTTCTCGACAAGCCAGGCATTAAAGCAACAGCAAGCCTTTTGGCAAGTGATTCATCTAGAGTTACTCTGGCACCAGCCATAACAAAATAAAGGCCGGTGCACAACAATGAGGCCTGGGCATGTCAGAGACAGACACACGACCCAAAGTACTAAGGGCTTGATCTACCTGCCCAGCAGACCTGATGCGAGTGGCCTGTGCTGCTACAGAGTATGTATCTGGAAAATAAAATGACATAGTAATTGTCATGTTATTCTATTAACTAAAAGTAATAAGTGTTCTTCACTGCATCTACTTCTCATACGAAGAGAAATCAACTGGACCTTTTCACAGACCAAAAGTGAGCCTAGCTTTGTCTGTTACTGATGCTCCTGAACTCTAAGAAACAATCTCTTGGACAATTAACACTTCGGAAGTTAGGACTGTCTCTAACAATTTCTGTAATCTCAAATGTGATCAAATATAGTACATGTGAATGGCACGTGGACATTTTAAGAAAAGCAGGAGCCAGTTCAATAAGCCAACACTGTACAGACGACGCCTTAGAAAGGCTTTCTTGCAAAATAAAGTACAACTGCACTAAAGAGATCAGTGCCTGAAAGTTCTCTTAAAAACAGGTGGGGTGGGGGGTGGCTAGGGCTAGCAAAGAATGTTCTGGTGCACTGAAACAGTGAAAATATATATCTGTACCACAGCCAAAGTAAAATAAAAAAAATTTAGGGGGAGCACACCCTGCAGTGGTCAGGGCTTATGTGTGGTTCTATACTCAGGGGTCATTCCCAGTAGTGGTCAGGGTATGGGGTACTGGAGACTGAATGAGGGTCAGCTGTATGCAAGGCAAGTACCCTACCTATGCTACTGTCTCCATCTGCCCTCCCAGGGTAAACCTTACCTGGGACTGGTAAGAAATAAAGCTTTGGGGGGCTGGCGAGAAGTGCAGATGTTAAGGTTGCTTGGTTTGCATGGAGTCAATCCAGTTCAATCTCTACGTATAACCCAAGAATGGCTTTAGTGGTCCCTGGCACTATGGGGCCTGAGCATCAAGCATCCTTGGACCCGCTTATTAAGTATCAGCCTGGTTAGCCAAGAATCTCTGGGAGTGGTTCCTTGGGAACATCCCCCATGAAAACATAATTTTTATATAAGATAACCATTTTTGAGGTTGCCAACTATGATGCTAATAATTACTAACCCTTTACCTTTTAAAATTTAAATCATGTTGGCATTTTCTTATTAAAATAATATAAACTCAGGTTCTGTACTACTCCCCAAGTGCTGTGATGCTTAACTCCCAGGTAAGCACAGCACACACCCACACCCCACCTCAAGTCACTCAGGAAGACACAAATCTTTAAAGTATTTCTAAAGGATGGTATACATGTCTGAGTTGTATTTTCACCTCTATTGAGGGTAAATTTCTTTATAAGTGGATAGACCAAAAAAAAAAAAAAAAGAGAGAAAGAAAAAAAAAAGTTCTAAGGATATACATAGATAAGAAAAAATTCATTTAAAAATTACAAAAAGGGGGATGCATAAACTTAAAGAACTGGGAACAGAGGGACTAATAACAAAGAATGAAAAGTTTTTAAAAAAGGGGGGGGGGAAAGGAAATGAAAACAGATGCTTTGCAATTGTAGTGGTTCATATAATAAATAAAACACAACTCCCTGCCTCTCCACCAGGCACCACTGCCATTCTGGGTGAATGGAGGACATGGGAGGAGTGACAATGTGTGTGTGTGTGTGTGTGTGTGTGTGTGTGTGTGTGTGTACGCGCTCTCGCGTGTATGCACAGCACCTGGCGGGGAATGGGGATGGGGGAGGGGATGTCCTTTACTGCCAGTTCCCATTCCCACACATTTAATACCTAAAAAATGTTTCCATCATGGGAAAATCTATCCTCCGTTGAGAAACACTGCTTTAACCTTTCAGTTTGGAACTGAAAAAAAAATAAATAAACCTCACAGCTATCTTAATTCTCAAAAATCACCTGAAAGATAGAAAACAATTTTTGGAATCCATTTAAAAGCAACACTGCTTCAAAGAAATAACAACAAGAAGGTTGGGGGGAGGGGGTGCACCCATACGTATAGTGTTTACTCAGGTATTCAAACACTAGATTTTACCTAAATGGTACCATAAAATTCTGGAATATTAATGAAATCAAAGTCCCTTTCTTTTCAACCATTATTTGTGAATGAATTCCTAAAACAACACTTTGCATTCCCCCAGTCAAGGAAATACATTCATATGCTAATGTCAGCCATACCCTCCAATTTACATAACTGATATTATTATTTATTATTTGCAAAGAACAAGTGTTTAATTCATGCCAACTATTTTGCAAAATACTTGACTTACATGCATTATCTTATTGAAATAAGAGATAGATCACTTTAATATAGATATTATGAGTTATAAAATCCATGATATTCAAGCTTAGGATGTAGTCAATTTTCCCTGGAAATCCCTAGACATGTTCAAAGAATTTAAATGCTAGTAAAATGCAGCAATTGGAAGTGGAAAACAGTAAGTCCTCCACAAGCAAGCACTGATGAAAATAAGGTACATTTTAACCCTTAGAGACTACTAAGGTCACCGTGATAGGTGAGCTAACCACCAGTGACTAATTAGCAGAGTTCTTGTATTCTAAATGTTTAACTTCCAAGCACTGCAATTCAGAAAACAAGTACATCAACCCCAGAAACCTAAAATAAAGGAGAAAAGGAAGAAAAATTCTATTATCTAAAAAGCAATAAAAATGCAAATGTATGCTTACAAAATAAGCATTGGACTCTCTTGATTAATACAGTTAAAAATGAAAATGAGCTTCCTTATTTTTAATAGCATTTTTTATTGAGATCTCCTTCACAGAACATAACATCCCCCATTTCAAGCATATAGTTCCCAGAATACCCACTGTGCTGTACAACCACCAACACCAGCCAATCCCAGAACAGTTCCATCACCCCCCAAAGAAACTCAGTACCTATTAGCAGTTAGTTCCAATATCCCATCCCCTACTGCCTCACAATCAGAAAGTTTCTTCCTGTCTCTACAGAGCTGCCTGTTTAGAGTATCTCATAAAATGAATCAAATGATAGGTGGCCTTTTGTCTGGCTTTCTTTCACTCAGCACAAGGTTTTCAAGGTTTACCCATGACGCAGCATGTAACAGTACTTCCCGCCTCTCTTGGCTGAATAAGCTCTTGGCTTTTGCAATAAAGTGAAGCCTTTCAAGAACAGTGTTTGGACATATCACCTGAAACATCTTCAGCCATTCCTGCAGGCCTGTCGGTGGCTGGACAGATGTAATCCGGCGTCGCTGCTGCCCTTGGCCATTGGCTGCTCTCAAGTCTCCGAAAGTTGTTGGTGTTGCTGAATATGGTACAAGCCCAGTGGTACTACAAAAAATATAAGAGTGCAAGGCAGGTATTATTAAGAATTGTGGACTCTAGTTTAGTACGAATAATTTAGTAGACCTCAGTTACCTATTATCTTATTTGCTTACTTTCAGAGAGCAGGGATACACAAAAACCTATTTTGCTAGTCTTAGGGTTAAGTTTCTTCCCTCCTACATAACCACTTGCTATTATTCAGCAATACTAATAGCAATCAAATGACAGAATCTCTATGGAAGAACAGTGAGTTGTTGATACATACAAATAATATCAAATTATTTCTGTACAAGACACAGGTCCCATTTCTCTTATTATTATTCAGCCTTCAGTAATCCAGTCAATGTTCAAATTTCTTTCAGAGAAAGGGGAATGGAATAAGCACTTAAAAAAAACTGCAGTAGTAGCAGTAGTAGTATGTTCCAATGTTTTTTAACATTTCATTTACTAGTCATATTATTTAAGTTTGCCCCAGGTGTCTTTAAATTATTAACATCATTTATCTCCAATTTTATACTGCTATTTATAAAGCTCAGTCTATATAATATTTACAGGAGCAAGTCTTGATTAAAAATGTTTCACTCAAAATATAGATAATTTATTGTATTATATAAAAATTAAGCAAGTGATGTCATCTAAACACTTTCATCCAATAATTTAAGCTTTCTGACAAAGCTAAAGACAAATCTGCAATTTACTGGAGGGGGAGTTGGGTCACACTTGGCTTAGGGGTTCCTCCTGGCTCTGTACATAGAAGCCACTCCTGGCAGTGCTCAGGGGACCATATGGGATGCTGGGGATGGAACCCGGGTTGGCTACATGAAAGGCAAGTGCCTTACCTGCTCTACTATCACTTTGGCCCAAGAAACCTGAAATTTATTATATTCGTAGTCAAATATAGAAATGAGACTAGGCTGCTCTCTCCCTAAAATTATTTAACTCTTCTACAGGTGACTACTAGTAGCAAAATTATAGTTATAATTGCTTTTAATACATTAAACTTTATTTTCTAATTTTAATATAAATTATTGCATTTTAAAGTAAATACTGAACATATCTATTTTAGAGATATTTGGGGAAAAAAGGAAAAGGAACAGTTAGGTTAAGACAGCTACATTCACAAAGTAATTTTCAATTCATCGCAGTATGACAAAACATTTTAAATCCAAATAATATACAAATTATAGCCCAATTGTTTAATAAGAACCTCAGATAGACTAACAATGAAACAACTCTCCCAATTCTTTTCTATCCAGTGTATCATAATTAATTAGATTTAAAAATATATATCACAATCACCATATTTCACAGAAAATTCTTATCTACCACCTTTAAATCTTTTAATGTTAGATATCTAAGACCATCTTTAATATTAAGCAAATACATCTATTTTTTTCTTTTATCAAATTTCAAGGTTTTACTTCCCCCTCCAAAAAGAGTATTGACAAATTTTCTTTTAAAAATGACAAACCTTAAGTTTCATCTTATTACAAAATGTCAAAAATATTTTAAAAGCACCAAACATAAAGTAACAAATTGGTTAGAAAGATATAGAAATCACTATGTTGCTTGGCTTGCTTGAGAAAGAGTATGTGATAAAATATCAAAAATAACACTTTCACATTTTCAGGTGCTTTCTCAATACTCAAAAGTGATCAACACTTACAGACAAATTTTACTAAAGAGTGTTCAGTGGTGAAAGTTCACCATTCATCTATAAACTGCCTTAAAAAAACAAATGATCTAGATAATATCTGCATCTTATTATCAGTCACTGTAATAGAATTCTGAAGTTGTATGTTTGGACTGTAATTCGTACATTTAAAAAAGGGTACATTTTTAATATAAACCCAATTTGCTCAGAAATACTTTATCCAAGGTAGAAACAGCAGCTAAAATGCAGTGATCAGTTCCACTTGTCTTTCTATCACTCCACACCCTCTGGTGGAGGTGTAGAACACAGTAAAATAGTCAAAACGCAATGGGTAAATTTCCTAAATAACTCAGAGGTTACAGTATTTTTTTCTCTTTTGTATCATCTCTGCATTTTTTGTCCATACACTTTTTCTAATTCTTTTGATTTCTAAGTGTCATAAGAAGCACTTGAAAGAGATGTTTTCTACAAATGAATGAAAAATAAAAAAACTGAAAAAATATACATTGTAAAAAGCTGCAATCAGCTACTACGCCTGTACTGTTAATCTTATTGCATCTTACAGAATGATAACTTTAAATCAAAACATTTAAGGAAAAGAATAAATAGCACCATCATGAAGTTCTTAGGATTATTATAACTTTCAGTCAGGTTATTTGAAGATTACCTTGACAATTAGGTTAAAAAAAAGAAGAAAACCTTTTAAAATAAAATACTTTTCTCATTTAAATTTTAAAATACTGCATTCCAAATGTCATCCAAAGCCATTTTTAATTGGCTGGGTACTAGTTTTTGTGCTTAAGTTAGCCTAATTAGCGTGAGAGTGGGAAAAGTTTTATACTGATGCAAAATCCAAAAATGATGGGATGAAGCAGGCAACAAAACTACAATTGTATTTAGTTGTTATGGAAACTATTCTACTGGTGTAGAAATGTATGTGTTAAAAACATAAGACCTACCAAGCAAATAAAAGAAAATTTCTAACACAGCAATTTCATGAAATAAGATTTAGTTAGTAATTATGAGGTCCATTTCACTGCTAATAAATGTATTTTCAATTCTGAATATATAATAGTTGTTGCTATAGTCATAAGATATACTTGTTCATACTGATATTATATGATTTACTTTCTGACTTTATACGATTTCCTTAAAATTTTTGATTTTTAAATTCTGTTCATAAGAACTCTATTTATGTCTACTTTAATGTACTAGCAATATCTACTATGTCTACTTAATGTACTACTAATAAAACATAAAGCTAGAGTAGCAGGAACTCTCCTTATTGAAAATACAGTCCCCATTTTCAGTGACATTAAAATGTATTAAACCACCAATGATACTGACATCATAATTCTAAAAGAATCATCCAAAAGAAATGCTTTCAGTACAATCAACTCTTTAAAGAAACATGAGGATCATGAAAAAATCAGTTATGATACTTAATAATACCTTGTATATTCTGAGACTTTGCATGGTTTCTTTCCCAAAGTAAAAGAGCGGACCTCAGAACCATGGTCCAACTTTCTTTTCATCTATAAGGTAAAACAGATAAGATAAATTAAAAAACAAACTATCCAACTGGCAAATTTTAACGTTAGCATTAATAATATTGGAAAAACTCTATTATTGTTAGATCCACAATGTTAAATAGGCTTAGTCAATCAATAAGGAAAATAAATGTTTCACAGTATCTACAGTTAGTTCTACTTCATTTTACTCTTAACAAGACTGGAAAGGTACATCCCACTCCCCCTGATAGTGTATTCAGAGGGAAAAAGCAGTGTGCAGTGATTAAAAAAAAAATGCTACCTATTATCATGTACATCCCTTCAAAGTAAGGTATCTTTCCGATTTTCCAGTTTAAGAAACAACATGGGAAATGTCATGTTCACCACATAGAAAGTGTCAGATGACATGTCTTTCCTATTTCGATTTATTTCCCCTTAAACACTAACTTAAGAGTAAAAAATTTTAAATTCAAAATTTCAAAACTAGAATGGAAGGAAGTGTGACAAAATTTAGAACTCGGTATTATAAGAGGGGGAAAAAGAATGTAAATAGGATTGTTTTGGAAAGTAGCTGTAATAAAGAAAAATCAATGAACGTGGGCCAAGAAGACAGTAAAAAGATAGTAAGTCCATTAATAAGAGAGAAGTCTGGGGATGGTACAGTAAGGATGGGGAAAAAAGATATCAATGGACTCTAGCTCTATTGGCAGATACTCAGGACAAAATATTTGAACTTGAAAATCAACAACAGAAAGATTTCAAAAGAATGAGTTATGCATCTTCAGAAGCTCTCCAAAACACCTATAGTTTTGCATTACATTGTATGTTCAGAACTGCATTTTGTCTACATCAATATAGAACTACTAATTCATATTTCACCACCAGCCGAGGTCATCTCACTAATGTTGTACAACTAGAAATTCAGATATAAGCTGTAACTTTTCCTATTTCAACAATCCTTCTCAGGTAGCTATGTCTACTAATTAATTATAGTATTACTGAAAATTGCGGGGGACCCCAGAGTGATCACTAGCTAGCCTCATTTTTTAAAGTGAAAACCCTTGCTTTGTAGGAAGTACCATCATTTTTTTTACTTATTGCTTCACATGGAAATATCATAATACAGCATGCCACTATAAATACTAAAGAGAACCACAGAGACTCCCAAAGCCTTTTTGAACCATCACCCTATGATCATAAAAACTTATTTTTATCCTCATTAAAAGACTTCCAAAATAAAGAGATGCTCTTTTAATACTAAGGGCAAGAGGTGAGGGTACAACACGCTCAAGCACAATTTATTCCCTGGTTTCTGAAATCTCTACTGGAATGATACAAAACTGGTCTTCTATCAGCCTTTCAGAAGTTTCTGCACTCATACACTGCTTTAAATTCCTCTCAAAACCCATTTTTCTTTCAAAATCATTTCAATAAAATAGAAATACAAAAGCTTTAATATAGAGGGAGTCCCATGCTTGCATATAGATCAATTACAGACATATATATATATATATATATATATATTCTCCTATGCAACATACATGCAAATGTATCTACCAGGAAGGTCAGTCGGTACAAATTACCTTAAAAAAATTCTAGTTTTCTAAAATAACTTCCATGATTTCTATTTTCAAAATTATTATGAGGAACTTGGATACTCATTCTAATTAAGTTTGAAATGCTGGCTTTCAGAACTTCCCTGGGTGTCTTGTAAATGCATTGGTGCAAATGCCTTTTGCCACTAAAATCAAACTTTATTTCCATCTCAGAGACCCTTCAACGAATAAAAATGTCCAAACTCCATACAAGAAGACCCCTGAGAAGGCATTTTTTTTTTCTTTGCAGACAATTTTAGAAGATATAGCACTTTCTGTAAAGCTAGGGAACTCTTTTAAATATCATATTGTTGACTTCAAATACTGACTTTGGAAGCCAAAAAAATTAATTTGGCAAATTTTAAGGGGCACAGAAAGTGAATATGATGATCTCCTTCAATATAAATCCCAGCCAATCTAGCAATTTACACTTTAAGAGCATCAGCTCAAGGGAAAGGGGAATAAATGTATGCATGTCTATTAGGTATGGGGGGGGGGGGGGATTTTTTTTTCTTTTTTTTTTAAGGCAAAAGGCTCCGGAGCAAGCCAAGGAAGGGGAGAGGATTTCCAGGTCAGCATTCGAACGGAGCCCCATCTCTCAAGTCCGAATACATTTCTGGGGAGAACATCTCGGATGGAAATCCCCCTTTCCTTTCTGCACGGAGGGCTCGGGAGGGCTCGCTCCAGCTCCCGTTGCCTTCCCATTATCTGCCTCCATCCCCGCTCTGAGCCTGAAGAGCAGCCCGCCAGCCACCCACCAAAATTAGAGGATACTGCAGCCATCTCTGATGATACAGATTTTCCTTCGCAGGCAGGCACACACACAGACACGATCACGCCACACAGGAAGCCCCAGGGAAAAAAAATCAAAAATCAAAAAAAGAAGAAAAAACAGCCCACCCAGATTACTTACTTTGTAAAAAATCATTTTGAGTGTGCCGTAGAAACCCATGTTTTCTGTATTTTTCCCCTTCAGTGCCTCTGTGCCCCCGTGTGTCCGGCTGCTGGGCAGTCTCTGACAGTACAACCCCTTTTCAGGCAGGTATGTCACGGATTCTAACGTGGACATGCTCGGGCACGTCGGGAGAGGCGGCGCGGGGAGCAGAACCGGCAACCCCACTCCCCGGGAGAGGCAGAAGACGCCGCGCCGCCGCCGTCTCAAGCCGCCCGCCGCTCGGCTCGGGGCGCGCATACAGACATGCAGCCGGCCCGGCAGAACTCGAGGGAATAATGAGCGCGCAGGGAGCCGATTATTGGCCGAGACGCGGCCCTGTCAGAGCCGCCACCGAGCCGGTGCCTCCCGCAGCAGCACCGGGATCAGATTACATCTTCCCTTGCACGCCGAATGGTGCAGTCCAGGATTCAGCAATGCAGACTGCACATCAATTATATGGTGATCCGCTCCAGGGAGCCCGTAAGCACACAACGCCCCCGAACGGAGGCGGGCGGGGGCCGCGCCGAGCCCGCCCCTCGCGCCCGCCCCCCGCCCCCGCCCTCGCCCCTTCCAAACTTTCAGGGAGAAGGTTTTTTGCGTTGGGCGAGACCTGCATTGGGGTGGGGGGAAGAGTTTTTAAAGGGCAAGCATCCTTCCCACAAATGAGTCCTTGCTGAAACATTTGGAAAATGGAATTATGGATTCGATGGGTCCTCCTGAGCAGAAGCAAAGCAAGCTACCCTCTGGCAGTCCTGCCGGGCTGAGCAGACAGTTCAAGAGGCTTGGGTGGCACTGAGTGGGCAACCCCAAAGGGAGGGATCCCATAGTCTTTGGGGATTCACAAGAAGATAAATCAGTTGGGGGGGGGGGCGTATAGCATTGGAAGACATTATGTAATAAATTACATTTCAACTTACATATTTCTCAGAGTAAGATCCACTAGAAACATTCCCTAATTTTTCCATTTTATTAGTCTAAAACATGATTTAAGAAAATTGCTACACAGTTCATTATCCGTAGGAATAAGGAGTGAATATTTTCTAGGATGAATAAACTACTATTATTTAAGTATCCAAAGTTTGGCCAAGAGGTTCTATTTCTCCAAAGGGAGAAGAAACTGCTCACTGGAATCTCATCCCTATTCATTAATCGAATTGAGTAAACGGGAGGCACCAGACTTCTACCCCCCAAATTATTTTGACTATGTGTATTGCTTATCATTAAAAAGGAATTTTATATAATAATAAAGGTACCAAAGTTTGCCTGAAGGCAACTTTTTTCTTAGAAGCACTACGACACAAATCTACATATTTCATCTCACAACTTGCTACAACAACTAGCTTTGGGGAGGCAATTATAGATTCCTAGGACTAAAAGGGCCCATTATTAAGGGTCTGGTTAATTAACTCTTACCCTTCCTTATTAACATTCTTATTACAAGCAAACTGTGCATCTATGGTTATGTAAGTACTCAGTTTCTTCAGGGGGAAAAAAACATTTGGACAATATTTTAATAAGCTGCTATGATAATAAATGACTTTCATTAGGAAAATAATTTCGAATGCTGTAAAAAAAGTGGATTCATGATTTTAAAAATAAATATATTTACCTTTATAACTAAGACATTAAATCAATGCAAAGTCATTTACTTTAAAATAAATTAGATTATCTAAAATTTTATGAAGATATGCATCTTGGATCTTCTGGAAATTAAACTCTAAACATCTTTTTAAAACTCTACCCGGCTCTTATATTAATCCTTACCCTCAAATACAACAAGTACATGTGCCTAGCAGAAGTAAACAATTTGTTTACTGCAAAAGAAAATTTCCTATAAATAGAAAACTCTTACTATTAGAAAAATTCAATAGGAATGAACCTACAAATCCTTTAGAGATTTCAGAATACTCAAGATTTTTTTTAATGTACCCCCCAGCCAACTCTGAGTCACCTGAAGAAACTAATTGCAAAATAAATGCCTGAAATTTTGTCTATAATTTGTCCATGGAAATTAGCTTGTCAGAGACCAAATGGGCAAACAGCAGCCCAATAGTGGTATGGTTCTTACTGCAGGAGAATTAGCATTTCCAAATTGAATCTAGTCAGTGGAGCAGACAAACCAACTTCAGTAAACTGGGGCACTGTCTCAAAAACCCAGGGTATTTAAAGAAAATAACGTAATTCTGTAAACTCAAAGGAATGCTCTTGCGGTTACATGGCTTTTAAGTATGGCTATGAAATTTTTATGAAAACACAGTCCCCATATATACACTTATATGTAGGTATGAATATTCATGTTTTATTTTGGTAGGCAAAATATAAGACTAAAAACTATTTTTAAAAAGTAAAAATAAAAGTATATTTTGAGAAGACTTTCTACCACTCCATGTCCCTATCTACCATGCTTCCCACTTGGTAACAATTTTATTAGTCTGCTTATTCTCTAAATGAGAAAACATGTATGTCTGATAAGTTTTCATAACTATTTTCTAAAT